CCTCACCCACGATATCCTCCCCATTCTGCCATTCCCCTTGCAGAATATCCTCTCGTTGTACAATCACACAACCGGCTTCTCTGCTTCTTACTGTGAGTGGAACACAATGAGTGTGAATTCATCATTCTGGAGCTGTATTGCATATTTCCAACCTGATTTTTTTTTTTTACCTTGAACATTCCGCTGTACATACCATACTGTTGCCTATCTCTGAGTTACTTCCTGATATATCATTGTAATTTTGTATTCATTTGTTCAGTTATGTTGTATTTAGCATATTCTGGGTGGAAATATATGAATTCTATATTCCCAAACCCCTATTCACAATTTCATACCCATTGTACATATTGAACTAGTAGCTAGCAAACTGCATCCCCAGTGTCTCAAAAACCTTTCGTATTATGTGTGGAGGGTCTATTTTCTTCGCTCTTTGCCTGGCAAAAGCTGTAGAAACTTAAATATATTTCCAGAAATTGCCATCATTTATATTAATATTACTATTTTTATTTACATCCATTGCTTCCTCCAGCATCTTTTATTAGTCCTTTCTTAAGGTATGGAATTATTCCATGGCATTTCGTGATAACATGATATAACCTGAAAAAAGGCGAAATGCTGCGATGTAATATCGCTAATTAGCTTTTCTACCCCCCTAGAGCCATACTTCCTGCAATGCCTGGAAAGGCCAGTCTTGTTTTCATCATGAAACAGTGTTTATGTTTGCTTTCTCTTCCCTTTCACAGTTGCTTTGTTTTTCTTTTATTTTTTCTCTGATTTTTTTTTCAGTTGGGCATGAACTTATCTCCTAATTCCCTCCCAATGTCACTCTCTTCAATTTTTTCCCCGTCTCCCCAGTCAACGCCCAAAGTAGGGATGGGCCCTAGGGATTTCGCTTGCAATTTCTTCCTTTCCTCTGCCCTACTCTCCTACAGGTGCGGTGGCTTGAGCAAGGGAATCACATGTGTCCTCCCGCCTTCCCAAGACTGTTTTCCATTCCCTTCCATTTCCTCTGTGCTCAGTTTGCGGTGTATGGTTTGCCAAAAGCAAAGGACATCGGGTGCAATGGGGCGTCGCTTTACGTTCGCACTATCCTGTCAACTCCCTACACTGTCGACCTTCTTGTGCACTATGCCAGAGGTTCTTACTTCTTCAGCAATGAAGTCTTAGATGACGTATGGTTCACCAGGAGCAAAGAGCACTGGTTGCAGAGAGCCGTCATTTTGCATCCTCGCCCTCTGGCCTTCCTGCTTTGTTGATCATCTCATGCACTGCACCAGAGGCTCTTACATTTTTAGCAGCGGAGTCATCAACGACATATGGTTTGCTAGGAGCAAGGGACAACAGCTGTAGTGAGCCGTTGCTTCATGTCCTCATCATTCTGCCAACTCCCTGCGCCATCGAACCTCTTGCACTGGGCCAGAGGCTCCTACCTTTTCATCAATGGAGTAACCAATGACGTATAGTTTACCAGGAGTGAAGGGCACCGGTTGTGGTGAGCTGTCACTTTGCGTCTTCACCCTCCAGATTCCTCCCTGCACCATGAACCCTCTCATGCACGTGCACCAAAAAAGGTTCCGACCTTATCAGCCGTGGAATCGTTGCCGGCTCTGCTGCTCCAACAAACATGGATATGCTGTGGTGCTGTCCTCGAAAGTCTTCTTACATTACTGCAAGAATTTTCAGATATCTGTGGCCTATCTTCGTTGTCCCCATTCCCTCTCTCCTCATTCCCAGAGGAAATGGACACATATAGAGGAGATACCAGCGTCTCCTCCCTTGACATAAGTGGCAGGACCTTCCACCCATAATAATCTAGGTTTTTATCCTCACCTGCAGGCATTCCAAGAAGTAGCGATCTTGAGTGAATTTCCATGGAAGTGGGGGAGTTTGGTTCTGGGTGAGGCAGCACGAATGGCACCACCATTCTGAAGAGAATCTCGAGGCTTCGCTCATGCTTTGGCTGCTTATCTTCTCTTGTGGCCACAATCCCTGGATCATGAGAGGTATAAGAAAGCAAGTCAACACTACATGGTCCAGTCCTTCCTCCTTCCCATATGCTTTCCAGCCACTGCTTCCGGTATATGCTCTACATGTTTCACATATTAATGGGAGGAAGGTTTGCACGCATTCCTTCTGCATCAAAGGCTACCAAAAACGACTTTCCGCCCCATCGTCCACCGTCCTCGCCTTCCATTGAGGTAGACTTAATTGCATGGATATAGGCTCTATGAGCTTGGAGATAGTCGCTCTCAGATTATTTCAACGCCTTTATATTATCTGTACTCTCAAGGGTCTTCAACAGATTCCACCATCGAAGTCCTTTTGATCCTATGCTTAGCAGGGGATGCCTTACATGCTATGCTGTGGCATCACCATTAGCAGATTCTCTGATGGAAGAGTCTAACGTACATTGGGATTAGAATATTTTACTATTAAAAAGCTTTTGGAAGGCCAAGAAAAGACGCAGGAGAAAATAGAGCATTTGAGGAAGGAAATATTTTCCTACCTTTTCTCGGCATACTAAAACCTCCTGAATTTTAGTTTCCAAAGACTGCCTGTCCTTTCCGGGCGACACAAGAAGTGCTGTACCCGGGGACAGAGTTGCCAATAAGTACTATTGCATTGCAGCTTTTTTTTTTTTTTTTTTTTTTTTAGGTTATATCTTGTGACCGCAAAATGTCATGGTATGTCTCCACAGCTTCCGGAAGGCCAAGGAAAAGTGGAACGAAAATGCCATTTTCCTTCCTCATTTGTCAACTTCATCTCACGAAACAATTCCAGTGGTCACCGGCATTTACTTGCCTGAATGCCTGTCAACACATCATGTTTGTATGGTTACATCATAGTGGTACGGCGATTTTGAAGATATCCTAATGGAGTCATTAGACTTGGACATAGAAATTCTTATCATGTTTTAAGCAACTTTCATGAGACCTACTTTTTCCATATTGTGTCAGAATGGACTTGTTTCACAACTAAGATAAGAAAAAAAAAAAAAATAAAAATGTACTGTCAATTATAAATTTTGAATTTAATCTTTTCCTGAGACATGCATGATATAATTTAAAAAAAGGGTCAGCTGGAGTGTATCACTTTGTAACAACCTGGAGGCTATTAAAACGAAAAAAGATATTTCAACAAGTTCCGTTGATGTTTACACAAAGGGCACATATCGATAAAGATATATCAGAGTTGCTGTGGAGATGCTACTATAATATTGCTAAAAGATATACAATCTACCCTATTCACAAAAATGCTGAATCACAAATGCTCGACCGCAATATCAGAAAACAAGGCACTTTTGAAACATTCAGCCACTCAAATATGCTCCTGGAGAACATGAACATCAGAAAAATAAAACTTTAGCAACGGTCAAAACAGCAGTAAGAAAGCCCATAAGCATGGTGCAACACTGCCGGCCACCAGACATGCTTGGCAGCCCCCAGAAGGACAGGAGCATTTCGAGCAGACCGGTGTGAAGAGGTTACTAGCAAGATGGGCCATCCTGATCTCCTGACGGAAATGGCTCATAAGTTGGGTCTCTTCAGGCCGGGCAAACATGGCCCTTGCTGGTCAAGTTAAGGAAGTTTCAGAAGAGACAGCAA